CTTATTATGCTCTGATTGTTAATATATAGCCAAAAAGTTCTGACCACCTACAGATCACTTTTGCAGACTTTTATTTCACACTGGAAATACCATCTTTCTCAGATGATATCCATATACAGAACAGCAGAAGCAGATGCAACATGAACTTGCTTTTGGGAATTGACCCACAATGGTCTCTAATTCCTGGCTGTAGATCAATAGAACTGTGGTCCAACCTTTGTCGCCCTTCAATTTCATTTCTGGTCACCCTTTGGTTTGAGTCTTGGACTTGCTCAGATGACCATAACTAGCCCCCAGAGAAGTTTAGTTTTATCTCAGGAACCAAACAGAATACTCATGGTCAGACAGGATGACCTGTCCCCAGGGTTTGTAAAAGAGTCCATGAAATATCACTATAACAAAACTCTGAAAACTGCTGTGACAGAGTTGAGGGTGCTTCTTGAGAGCCAAGACTTGGCAAAAACATTTCTGGTCTCCAGAGGAAACTACTTCCTGGGATCAAAATTGCACAAACAAACAGATGTAAGTAGCTAAGTGCCAGTAGCTGACATCTGTAATCCTAGCTACTCACGAGTCTGGTATCTGAGGATCAGGGTACTCAGGAGGCTAAGATCTGAGGATCAAGGATCTAGACTGGGCAGGAAAGTCCATGAGACTCCAGTTAACCAGCAAAAAGCCAGAAGTAGAGCTGTGGCTCAGGTGGTAGAGCACCAGCTTTGAACTAAAATGCTGAGGGACAGTGCCCAAACCTTGAGTTTAAGCCCTGGTACTAGCACACACAAATATAATCATACACACTCCAAAAACAAAAACAAGAGAACAAACAAAAAACAGGTAAAAGGGGCAAGAATCTTCAAGTAATTATCAATACCAGACTAAAATGAAAAATAAATAAGTAAAATATGGATGAAGAAAAGGAGGAGACAGCAGAGGAAAGAAGAGGAGAACTGATATATATAATAGATTCTTATTCACAGTAGTTATAATCTATATAAATCACTGTGAACATTGGATTTACAAATACTGGACCTTTGCTCTTGAGGGAAATAAAGTTTATGCTCCTAAGAAACTGAGGTCAAGGAAGAAAAAACATTTGAGTCCTTATCTTGGGATTCATTTCACCTAACATCAACTTATCTGACCATTTCTGCTTGACTCAGACATATACTAGTTATTGCAAATAAGGGAAACCATAGGACCTATGTTTCTTTGGGCCTGGCTTACTTCACTTAATATAATTTTTTCCAAGTCTTTCCATTTCCTAACAAATGGGGCAATGTCATTCTTTCTGATGGAGGCATAGAATTCCAAATAGGGATAAAGGTGGACCCATTGCAACAATGAGATGTACAAGACGTTATGTCGAAACACCAACTTTACAACTTTGGTGCGGGGGAGGGGGGGGTGGACTGGGGGGGGGGAGATGGGAAGAGATGGTAAGGGGAAACAAAGGAGGAGGCAACAATGCTTGATAAGAAATGTACTCATTACCTTGCCCATGTAATTGTAACCCTTCTGTATGGTATTTTCACAATAAAAAAAAAAACAACTGAGGTCATAACATTTCTTTTGCAGGGGTGGGTTAGTTGTGAGTTTGAACTCAGGGCCTGGTCACTCAAGACTAGCACTCTTTGAGCCACAGCATCACTTCTGGTTTTCTGGTGGTTAATTGGAGAGAAGAGTTTCATGGAGTTTCAGCTCTCAGCCTCCTGAGTAGTTAAGATTACAGGTATGAGCCTACTGATGCCTAATGAGCCACCAGCACCAGCTGACAAATCCATAACACTGATTTATATATTTTTCTGTCTAAAGACACTATATTTCATATGTATTGTTGATTTAGTTATCATTTGTTTTAATTTTTATTTTTGGCACCCCTGGATGGGCACAAAATATTGTTGATTTATTATTATTGAACTATTGAACAGTGAACAGCACTAACATCTTGTGTCTGAATGAGCACTATAGCTCATATAAGACATACCATGGCTTTCTTTGCTTAAAAATACTAGAGTGAGCTGAACACCAGTGACTCACACCTGTAGTCCTAGCTACTCAGCACGCTGATATCTGAGGATCATCGTTCAAAGCCAGCCTGGGCAGGGAAGTTCGTGAGACTTTTATTTCCAATTAACCAGCATAAAAACAGAATTATTATCTGTGACTCATATGATAGAGGGCCAGACTTAAACAAGGAAGAGTTTAAGACCCTGAGTTTAAGCCCCAGTACTAGCAAATAATAATAATAATAATAATAGATTGTGGCTCGATGCCTCACACCTTTAATCCTAGCTGTTTAGGTGGTTGATCTGAGGATCAAGGTTCAAAGGCAAGCTGGGAAGACAAATTAATTAGCAAAAAGTTAGATGTGATGGCGTGGATCAGTAGCTGTGAGCAAAAAAGCCAAAGATAGTTTGGGACCCTGAGTTTCAGCTCCAGTACAAACACAGACACACACACACACACACACACACACACACACAGAATATTAGATAGTACTATGCTAAGCTTGGGAACCATTTAAGGAGTAAAATCACCAACAACAATCTCAAAATTATCAGAACCCAAACAACAACAAACTACTGAGAAACTGATCTGTAGAATACAACCTGACAAGAAGCCACCTGAGGGTTCCATTCACAGAGCTGTACCCCAGGGGAAGAGAGCGCTGATTTGGAATAGGAACTTCATGAATGAACCATACAGCCCCCAAAGCTATGGAAGATGTTTTGGCTGGTGCCGGGTGACATATAGACTCCTGGAGAGAATCTCCATTTTGGCAGCTCTTGATCCCATGTTCCTTGAGATCTGGCGAGGGAGGGAGCGAAAGAAGCAGGCTGGGAGAGACTGGAGTGGTGGCCACAGAGATCTGTGTAAGACACTCATGTGATCAGTTAACTGAACACAGGAAGTCCAGGATGTCCAATTAATAAATGTACAGCCGCCACTCCATCCCACATACTTATTATGGGTTGTATGATGGGAAGTAAACCCTGATGTGTATGCCCAGACTCCTCTATTATCTCTCCAAAGGTAGTTTCCCCACTCCCAGGTCCTGGCAGGAAAGGGCCCAGAATTACCTGGCATCCAGGGCTCCAGCTCTGGAGCTCACACCCTATGAGAAGTGTGGGTTTCAGTCAGCCCTGAGGACCGATAGATGTGGCACCAGTACCTAGTGCCAGGAAGGCTGCTGGTCTGGTTCTCCAAGCTGGGAAGCAGCCTACCCAAAAGTCAAGGGCCCAGTTTGCTTGCACCAGGCCAAATAGGCAATTAGCACCCACAGAACCCTTGCTGTCCAGTGATTGCTCAAGCTATGAAACTTCAAGCTTACTAGTTCCTGGGTAGAGAGCAGGTAAGTTGGGAGCCCCTGAGATAGAGGAGAATCCCATACAATGGCCTGTACTCAGAGTCACCTTGCTGCCCAGTTCAGACAGGAGCCAGAAAACTTTAGCATCCTCATTTTGGACTTGATTTTCGCTGTCTGTCTCTCTGTCTATCTCTCTTCTTTCCCCTTCCCTCCATCTCCTTTGTCTTTCTACTTCCCTCTCCCTCTCTTCCTCTCCCTGCTTGAGAGGCTTGAACTCAGGGGCTGGGTTCCATCCCCTAGCTTTTTGATTCAAAGCTGGCACTCTACCACTTAAGCCACAGCTCCACTTCCAGCTTTCTGGTGGTTAATTGGAGGTAAGAGTCTCTTGGACTTTCCTGCCCAGGCTTGTTTTTGAACTATGATCCTCAGATCTCAGCCACGTTGAGTAGCTAGGATTACAGGCCTAATTCACCAGCATTGGCTATTCTTGCTTCCCTTGATTTTTAGAGCCCTGTCCTCCTCTTAGCCACTGCCAGTCTAGATTGACACAAACTCTTTCTTGGATACTCTTTTCTCTTCCTCCAATGTATGCCAAATGCTAATTTCTCATGGTTCCCAGTTCCACCCCATAATCCATCCCTTCCCTACCTTCTCTCCCTGGCTTGTGATCGGAAGGAAGAGAGGCTTGGGCCTCTCTAGTGCTCTCCCCACACTGTTAGCTCTTAAGATCCCAAGTTCACATGAGAAGAGCAGAGGCTGGAGACACCAGCCCTGACTGACTAAACAGGAATTCTGGTAATTCCTGGCATGGCTTGGGCCATCTTTGGTTGCTGTTCATACCTAGGGTAAGTAAGCCATGGGTGAAGTGCCGGGCCCAGAGTAGGCATAGTGACCCAGTCAGGAATGCACTCTCCCCTGCTCCAAGGCACAGTTTGGATTGGACAGGAACTCAAGCATTAAAGCCAAGTCCTGGGGCTTCCCCAAAGACCTATCTGACTGATAAGGACGCTTCCAGCCTCTGTGGGGGAGGAAAATTGCTTGGAAGTATAGACACACGGGTTGGGCAAGGAATAAAGGACTAATTTTCTTCCTTTCTTTCTTTCTTTCTTTCTTTCTTTCTTTCTTTCTTTCTTTCTCTCTCTCTCTCTCTCTCTCTCTCTCTCTCTCTTTCTTTATTTCCTCCCTCTCTTCCTCCCTCTCTCTTTTCTTTCTTTCTTTTTTCTTTCTTTCTTTCTCTCTTTCTTCCTTTTTTTCCCCTGTGTGTGTTGGTACTAAGGCTTGAACTCAGGGCCTGGATGCTGTCCTTTAGCTTTTTCACTCAAGGCTGGTGTTCTACCACTTGAGCCACAGCTCTACTTATAGCTTTTTCCTGGTTATTAGAGTGAAGAGTCTCATAGTCTTTTCTGCTTGGGCTGGTTGCAAACCATGATCCTCAGATCTCTGCCTTCTGCGTAGCTACGATTACAGGTGTGAGCCACTGGCATCCCTCATGCCAAGGACTAGTGAGAAGAAACACAATCACCCCAGGAAAGCAGCTCCCAAGGGGGTCAGAGGAGCCATCTTCAGCTGAGAGGAGGTGAAGAAGGCACTCCTGCCCAGCGTCACATGATCAACAGAAGCCCAGGAGTTCCCAAGGGAAAACTTTGTTTCTTCTTTCCTTGTTCCTCCTGGGGTGGAGCCTAGGAGGACTTACCGGAAGAAGCCTTTGCAGCCTTCACAGGTCATAGCATTGAAGTGAAAGCCTGTGGCTCGGTCTCCGCACACGCCACAGATCCGAGGTACATTCCGGTCAAAGTCACTGGGGTCAGGCAGGGAAGTGCTGGCTGCCATTGCCTCCATCCCTGCAAAGATAAAAGGTAGGCCACATCCAGGACCAAAGTCAATGGCAGGGCCACCTGGCATCTTCTGTATTACCCCTCTGCCACAGCCCCTGACAGCTTAGCCAAGCCTGGGGTTTAGGCTGTAGCCTGAGTTTACACCAGTGGCTATGAATCATGCCTGTAATCCTAGCTACTCAAGAAGCTGAGATATGAGAATCACAGTTCAAAGCCAGCCTGTGCAAGGAAGTTCATGAGATACTTATTTTCAATTAACCACCAAAAAGCCAGAAATAAAGATATGACTCAAATGGTAGAGCACCTGCCTTGAATGGAAAAGCCAATGGACAGTGCCCAGGCTGAGAACCAACACAAAATATATCCATGCATACATACATACATACCTTTTAGTTCATTGGTGATTCTAATATGCACATGCACCTCACTAGCTCTGCTCCATCTCAGGAGCAGATCTGAACAGGCCAGAGCCTCTATCTAGTCCTGTATGTCATCCAAGAGGAAAATGGGGAGCCTTCTAATGCCCAAACCTGAATCCTTTCTATTCCAGGCCCTGTTCCTCACAGCCAGACAAGTCATATCTAAAGACTCTTGTCCCTGGTGTCCTGTCATCAAGGTAATGAAAATCTTTTCCTTCATTTTTTTGTGTTCAATTCATTTAACATTATTTTTAAAGTCTTTCTGAATAATGTGAATCATACATGGTTAATTATACATAATCATGTACAATTAATTGTCAGAGACAGGTTTGTTTGTTGTTGTTGTTGTTGTTTTGTCAGTCATGGGGCTTGAACTCAGGACCTGGACACTGTCCTTGGTCAGCCATCCTAAGTCCAAGATAACTCCTACAAGTTTTCAGAACATAGAAGCATCTGAGACATGGGCAGGAATCCCACTGCCCATTCGCATTATAAGGTAATAGGTCAGTGGCTTAACCCAGGGTCAGCTCAGATGTTGTATCTCCAAGTCATCAGGATGTTGTACAGCATCTGGGTCATCCAAACTCCCCAACAGCCAGTGGGTTTGGTGGAAAAAAGAGAACTCAGAGCCTGGCATTGGTGGCTCATGTTTGTAATCCTAGCTACTCCAAAGGCTAAGATCTGAGGATCACAATTTAAAGCCCACTTGGGCAACAAAGTCATCCATGAGGCTCTTATCTCCTATTAACCAGCAAAAGTCTGGAAATGGAGCTGAGGCTCAAGTGGTAAAGTACCAGCCTTGAGTGAAGAAGCTAAGTCTTGAGTTCAAGTCCCAGTACTGGCATGGGAGATAGCTAGATAGACAGACAGACAGACAGACACAGAAACAGAGAGATAGAGACAGAGACAGAGACAGGAGAGAATCACAGAGATGGGAACGCCTCATTTCTCAACTCAATCCAACAAGCTCAGCCTCATTGGTCATGACATGACACAAGGGAGTTAGGACAATAAAATGCTATCACATGGCACAGTGCCACTTCAGGAAGTGGCCTGGCCTGCAGGTGAGAGCTCAAGCACTGGGGTAGGCTGGTCAGAAAGACTGGATCCCCATCCAGAGGCCCACAAGGGAAGCAGACCATTGTAAGGGGTCGGAGAGAGAATCCAGCCAAGCACTCAGGAGCAGAATCCAGATGTGGAGAAGGGACCTAGGATTCTCAATATCTGAGAGCTGAAAGCTGCAGGAGATACAAGCAGAGACTAAGGAGGGCAGGAGAAGGAGAAGGTGGGAGCTAGGAAACATTGAACCTATAAGACAGCCCCTCGGATCCCAGCTCACAGCCAGCAAAGTCCCTCTCTGAACTCTTATCCTAGCCTTCATGCCTGTGGATCTCAGCTGTAGATTCTGGTGACACAGATCCTACACATGCAAGGACTCGGGTAGGACTCCCTGCCTTCCCCTCCTCTGTCCCATGACTTTCCCCTGTCCCTGGAAAGTAAGCCAGGAAAGGTGTGGTTGACAAGGACGGTGCACTTACCTGAAGGAGTAGGGGGCAGGTGAGTGGAACTCAAGGGTGCTCTACTGTGCTCTACCACAGATGTGTCCAAACAAAAGGATTCTGAAAGGTAGAGGATGAAACATTTTATCTAAAGCATCATTCCTCTATGGAGCCCAGCAAACCATAGGACACTCTTGCTAGGGACATCAGGTCCTAGATCAAGGACTCAACACTTGACAGAAGTTACTTCTTGGGGATGTGTGTGTGTGTGTGTGTGTGTAGAACTGCCATGTCATTGCTGGCAGGAGTGTCTGGACAGGTGCCAGGCTTGGCTGTCCTTTGAGGTAGAAAGCAGCATGAAGTATGTGAGATGTGAGGGTGATAATCAGAACTGCAGATGCCAAGACCTTCGTCCTGCTCTTACAACCAGGATGTTGAGGGACTGGAGGAATGTGTGTGTGTGTGTGTGTGTGTGTGTGTGCTGGTCCTAGGGCTTGAACTCAGAGCCTAGGTGCTTCCCTTGAACTATTTTGCTCAAGGCTAGTGCTCTACCACTTGAGCCACAGCTCCCCTTCTAGCTTTTTAGTGGTTCATTGGAGATAAGAGTCTCACAGACCATTCTGCCCAGGCTGGCTTTAAACTCCAGTCCTCAAATCTCATCCTTCTGAGTAGCTAGGATTATAGACAGGAGCCACTGGTGCACAGATTGAAGAACAATTTTTCCCTTTTTTAAAAAAAAGTTTATTGTGATTATAAAGGTGACATACAGAGGGATTACAATTACATAAATCAGGTAAGAAGTACATTTCTTTTTGTCACTCTTCCCTCCCATTCTCCCAGTTTTTCCCTCCATTCCCACCCACAAGTTGTATAGTTCATTTTCAACATAGTATCTAGTAAGTACCACGGCTGCATTTGTTCCGCCTTTGTCCCTCCATTTCTGAGCTCCTCCCTTGCTCTCCCAAAGACAGATAAATGAACAAACAAGACAAAAAGAAAAGAAAACAAAAACAGCAAGGAAGGAAAAACCAGCCTCTGGTTTCTATTTCCTGGAGTTCATGTGGGTAAGTAGTATTTTATATGATGCACCTAGGCATTGTAGCTTTGTAGGAGAACCTCTTTCTAAGGAGGCCTGCTGTGCTCCCTGACCTGCCCTCGGATAGTAGGAACACTCTGGGAAGCAGAGGCATGGGCCGCCCTGGCACATTGCTGAGACTGGGGAGTTGATGGCTGCCTCAGGCAGGATTGCACCGGAGCCTTGCAGGAGCTGGGTGCAGTGCGGTGCTGACTGGGACAGCAGCACAGGCCCCTGGTCTGTGTCTTTTTGAGGTGTCTTCGAAGGCAAGTGTCTGGGATCTCCTGTTTGTGTGTAGACACGGGGGAGGGAGGTGGAGCAGGTGCTGCAGGGTTACACACAGCAATGTATGGCTTTCTAACAAGATGTTTTCCTGCCGATTTTAGCTCTTTCCCAGACATGTTTAACGCCCCCGGCCTCAGCTAAGGCTGGGAAAGGGTTGATTTCCCAATCCAGCATGACAGCTCATCAGGTGGGACTGGCAAAATTGTACCCACAAGACAGACAGACAGACTTGCACACACACACACACACACACACACACACACACATACACACTTCTCCCCTTCCCTGATGTCAATACAAGATGAGATAGGACATTATATATACATATATTTTTTTTCAGCTACCTGACCCTGAAACTTAGCAGAGGCCTTTAAGCTAAACCCAGGTAGGGAGGTCCAGTCCTCCAGCTGTTGTTTCTCTTTAGAGACTCCTCTGTGTCTCTCTCTCAATCCCCCATCTCTCTGTCTCTCTGTCTCTGTCGCTCTCTCTCTGTTTCTATCTCTTTCTCCCTTTCCCTCTCTCTTTTACTTTCTCCCTTCCTCCCTCCTCTCTCTCTCTCTCTCTCCTCTAGTGCCCTCCTGATTAGGCAGGGGAAAGGAGAATTTAAGGGGTTGTCAAGATCTGAACTCATTGTACTCAGATGTGGGGTCCCCAGGGGACCCTTGAGGAACGGCCAAGCGGCTGAAGCTCTGAGGTAATCTAAACTCTTATGGCTATGGGTGGAAGGGAGCTGTGCCTGCTGGGAACGGACAGGCTACTCCACCCTAGCCATGCTCTCCCTCATGTCCCTTGCTTTCCCCAGCTCATGTTCCCCAGCTCTTCTGAATTCTATCTTATAGATTTCCCAGAGTCCCTAACTGATCCTCAGGAAGGCTGAGGTGAAGGGAAAATACACACAGAAAGGACCATTGCCCTCCTGTTATCATCCCCTAGAGTTTTCAGACGTCAGAGGGGTCATCCAGGTAGACTGTCACCCTTGAACTTAAAACAACTGTTTGGTTGAGCATCAGTGGCTCACATCTGTAAGTAATCTTAGCTACTCAGGAAGCTGAGATCTGAGGACTGCAGACTGAAGCCAGCCTGGGCAAAATACTCCATGAGACTCTTATCTCCAATTAGCCACCCCAAAAAACAGAAGTAGAGATGTGGCTCAAGTGGTAGAACACTGGCCTTGAGTCCAAAAGCTCAGGGACCAATGAGCCCAAGCCCTGAGTTCAAGCCCCAGCATCTGCACAAAACTCCATAGTTCGGAAAAAATCTACTATCTGCTAAGTCCTGCAGTCTGGAAGGTAGGAAGCCATTTTATTTTATCAATGGTAAAACCAAAGTTCAGAGTACTTTGAGTGACTTGCCAGGTCTGGGGCCAGGCAAGTAGTGGCACCCGGTACAGCCAAATGAGGGCAGGTAGATGGTCACACCCAAGAACATCTCTGCCTCCTGCTCACTCCTCCCATTGCCAGTGATAGCCATCAGAGAAGACACCTATTGCTTTATACTGGGACCTGCTCCAAGGTCCTCATGCTTTGGATTTAACCTCCACCACACCCTTGTTGGGTGAGCTCTGTTATTATCCCTATCTTTTTTTTTTAATTGTGCCAGTACGAAAGCTTGAACTCAGGGCCTGACTCTCACTCTTGACTTTTTCTGATGAATGCTGGTGCTCTACCATTTGAGCCACACCTCCATTTCTAGCTTTATGCAGTTAATTAGAGATAAGAGTTTATCTACTGGAGCTGCCTTTGAACTCTGTTGATCAGGTCTCAGCCACCCCAGTAGCTGGGATTACAGGAGTGAGCCACTGGCACCTACCTTTATCCTTGTCTCAAGAGGAGAACTGAAGCACAGGAAGGTAGCTTTACTTTGGAACTGAGGTTTGAAACTAGGCAGCGTACCCCTTGAGTCTCTACTCTTCTACATTTTCTTTCTTTATTATTTTTTAATCAGCACTTTTAAAAAGAATTATTATTATAAAGGTAATATACAGAAGCATTACAGTTACAGAAGTCAAGTAATGACTACATTTCTTTTTTGGACAATGTCACCCCATTCCCCTTTCTTCCCAGTTTGGGGGGGGGGGTCTGGTCGTGGGCCTGAACTCTGGGCCTGGGCGCTGTCTCTCAGCTCTTCAGCTCAAGGCTGGTGCTCTACCACTTGAGCCACAAGTGTCACTTCTGGCTTTTTTCTTTTTTCTTATGTGGTGCTGAGGAATCGAACCCAGGGCCTCTTGCATGCAAGGCAAGTGCTCTACCACTGAGCCACCTTCCCAGCCCATACAGTTCATTTTCAACATAGGGTGTAGCGAGTATTTGTTTACCCTTTGTCCCTCCATTTCTGTGCTTCCCCTTGCCCTCCCAAAGACAGATAAATGAACAAACAAGACAAAAAGAATAGACACAAAAATAACAACCAAGGAAAATAACATCTTGTTTCTATTTCCTGAAGTTCATGTTGATAAATACCATTTTATATATTTATACTTCTGAATTTTCTAAGGGAAATATATCATCCATGTTTCCAATCCTAGACCCTGGACATCATTCACACCTACTAATTCAGAGAACAAGATGCTGGTGGTTCATGCCTGCAATCCTAGCTACTCTGGAGGCTGCTATCTAAGGATCGTGATTGGAAGCCTAGGCAATTAAGCACAAAAAAGTGGAAGTGGAGCTGTAACACTCACTTGAGTGGTAGAGTGTTAGCCTAAAGAAAACAAAACAAAACAAAACAAAATTCAGGGACAGAGCCCAGGCCCTGAGTTCAAGCCTCAGGACACACACACACACACGCACACACACACACACACACACACACACACAGATCCTGAGGTCAGAATATTTCACCTCCAAGGATCCTTAGGCTCAAATATCAAAAGCCTCAATCAGGGTCCGTTTTCTATTCACAAGCTGAGAACCCCATTTCAAGCAATAGTTCTCTCTTCCCCTTCAACTTTTCACTACTGGTAGGTCTTTTTAAGAGAGATTAGCCAGGATTAACCTCTGGGTCCAAGTGCCAGTTAATAGGAAAGTAGGGCAAAAACATGGGAAGAAAAGAGGACAGGTGAAAAAAAAAAATAACCCCATCTCACTTTCCACGGTCATACATGCCCCCTCCCCACCCCACCCCACCAACCAGAAGTCATGTTCTGAGTATAGAACATTCCACTGCTTTGGCTGGGGCTTTCCCCAGAGCAACACCTTCCTGACCCTGACCCCAGACTTGACCTTGTTTTTGGCAAGAAATGAGATCACACAGTTCCTGACAGTCACCGAAGCCACAACCACTGCCTCCCTTATACCTCTATCTTCCAGCACACTCTGTGAGCACCCACTTTTTCAAAGAGTCTGTGAAATGGTCATTTCCTGGGGTAGAGTCCTAGGAAAGCAAGGATCAAAGTTCTGAGCCCCCCGGGGTTCAGTTTAACTCTACCACATTGACGGGACCCCCTTCAGATTTTTGAAGATGGTAGCACTCTATGAGGAGAGTCTAGGAATGGACAAGAGGCTGACCACTAAAATCCTTTTCAAGCTGGGTGCTGGTGACTCACATCTAGAATCCTAGCTATTCAGAAGGTTGAGATCTGAGGATTGTGGTTCAAAGCTAGCAGGGCAGAAAAGTCCACAGGACTTATCTCCAATTAAACGACAGAAAGCCAGAAGTTGAGGCATGTTTAAAGTCGTAAGGACAGCTTTGAGCCAAAAAGCTAAGCCAAAGCATGAGGCTCTGAGTTCAAGCTCCACTATTGGCACCTAAAACAAATAAT